GCGCTCGGCGCGGACCGTCATCGGCTGTTCTTGCTAGTGAGAGGTCGAGGGGAGGGTCTCCTCTTTCTAGGAAGTCCACGCCGGGTCCTGTTGTGGAAGGGGGTGATGCTGAGGCTGATGGTCCTTCGGAAGAGTAGGTGTTGGACCGCACTATCGATATCACTAGCACTATCAAGCAAATGACGAACGTTACGACTACGATGCCGATGCGACACAAAGGGTTTGTACATGGGATAAATACGAATACTCCTTGTGAATAGACTTGCATATCAATAGATTACACGTTCTGCAATCTAGCTCCAAAACAGGACTATCTTTCAGAAGCGCAGATACCATATACTAGTCGAGAAAAGGGGAAGGTAGGTGTGGTTGGTACTGTCAAGGGAGGGGAAAAAAGGACAACAAAGCGAAGACAACACAGCATGCAACTGCTAATACCAAAGGCGTATCGCGTAGGGGGGTGGGAATAGAGAAACGAACGACTTTAACGAATAAAAGAAGAGCAAGGTGGCAATCCAACGCCTGTAGATATCAAACAAACGACACCGCAACTCCTCGCAACGCGATTAATTCAAGTAGGATATGTAAGGTAGAACGGGGAATCCTTTCTCTCTCTCTCAGACCAGCCAGTGGTCAGTCAATAGTTTGGAGAATCTCTAGCAACTATTCGCCGCAGTCAATACTTATGCTTCACACCAAGCAATCTTCCCAGCCTAGTCATCATTTACTCCCAGTCGTCATCGCTTTCCTCGTCCTTGGCCTTTTCCTTGGGACTGGCAGGAGTGCGGCTGGTCGCACCGCTAACGAGGTCGTAGCTGGATTCGCTGTCGGGCTGGGACTGTTGGTCATTGGACCGGCGGGGTTCTGTGGGCTTCAGGGTATCCTTCTCGGTAGCAGTGGCAGTAGGGGTGGCAGAGGTGGCCTTGGTGGTTGAGGTAGATTGCTGGACTTGAGGCGTAGAGGGAGAGTCGGTGTCGTCGTCGGAATCATCATCCCACTTGACTTCTTCCTCATCGACATTGACATCTATGGGACAAGTTAGAGAAGAGCCATAGGATATATAGGGAACGGGGAGAAAAGGAAATAAACATACCCTTAAGAAGCTCCTTCCGCTTCTGCTCCTCAGTCTCAATAACCAAACGCAAGAAATAGTACCGGCACCAGAAGACCGCGTATTCCACCTTCTCGGGAACAAGCTTCTCCATGGCGGAGCGCAGCTCCGGATACTTCTCCAAGTCGGCGGCAATAGCATCCGTCTTATCGTCCACATTGAAGGACTGCTTGAAAGCAGGCCACTCGTCACTCACGGGGTCCTTCGAAAAACTCTCCAAATTCGAATGGATGACATGAAGCTGCGCCTCGAACCGCGTAGCATGGATAACGCGCTTCCCATCTGCATCCTTACTTTCAAACAGTAGCTTATCCGACGACGACTCCGTAGACGGCGGCACAATGCTAACTGCATCCTTCAATTTCTGTCCAATATTCATCCCAAAGCGCAGAATAGCTTCGTCGGCTGCTTCCTCTGCCTTTTCAATCTCCTTAAGTCGGCGGGCGGCCTCAGCCTTGAACCGCGAGAGGAACCCCTCATTACTGTTATCCGAGCTGGCAGAAGGTCCAGCCTTCTCCTTCTCTGCGGCCTCATTCTTGGGCGTAGATGACGATGTTTCCGTCTCCTGTTCAGTTGTTGTACTGCTGCCAGCGCCGATGATATTATTGTTGAAAGCTGTGCTCAGGGACAACCCCCGCGTGCGCCCGACGATGCTACTCTTCAGATCCGAGAACCCCTTGGCGGCTTCTTCGCTGGCGGCGGCGTACTCCTGGCGAGCGCCTTCGTAATAGCTTTCGCCTTGTTTGCGGACATTGTCCCAGAGTCCGCCGATGCGTGCACCCCAGGGACTCGCGGAGAAAGCGCGGAAGGTTTCCTGCAGTTCGGCGTTAAGGTCGACATTGGGGCGGTCTGAGTTGGTGGCGGGTGCATCGGAGGGGTTGTTATTGTTGTTGCTGTTGTTTTCTTTCTTGGCGGAATCGTTGGAGGAGAATATCTCCTCTTGGATGTGGTCATAGGCTACATCCATGACTGCGGAAGGTGGACAGAATCAGAGAGGGATATCAGATGAAGTTGGAGGGCATATCGTGGATTGGAATGAGGGATGCGGGTGTTCTGGTCAGTCAACTGGGCGGTTTCGTTCCCGGGGCTACGACGGCCCGACCGCCTGCTCACTGTCACTCCCCACGTGCTGGGGACTTACTACGGACTTAAAACACTGTGAGCGAGGGATATTGTATATTGTTACGTACTATATATATATGATCTAGTCTCATAGGGTATATTGATGCCGTGTCTCATTAGTGTCGTGATAAATCGGGCTGTCCCATCGTGTAGAGTCTACGAGTCTGGTAAACTGTAGGGCTCTCCAACGCTATCTTGGCTATCCATCAAGAAGGCCGGAAGGGGCACGCTTTCCATCACACTCGATGTAAGGATCTGGCTCCGGCTCAGGATTCCACGAGGACCGGAATTTTCCTCCTGATTCTTCTTGTGGTGTCGGTCTGCTGGCTGTGAAGACTCCACTTGTACCACGTCCCTTCGCGCAAGGGGCTCAGGGGGAATGAACTCCTTCGCTCGGGTGCCGTTTCCTTGGCGTGTGATAGGTGAAGATTCCGGGACCATCTCCATTGGGGCCTTGTCGGAACTTTGTCCCTGAGTCTGGCTAAATGCTGGTATGCAAGGTTTGGACATTGCACGACTGTCCGTTCTAGGAGATGACGGTAGGGGTGACATGGTCCGGAGTGCTTGCTGGTCATTTGGATCTTCTGGAAACAGCTCAGCCAACTTCTGGGAGCTTAACGTCGGGATTGTACCAAGGGGAAATTGGGTAGCTGGCTGCAGTCTTTGGTAATATATCGATGCTTCGGAGGTTGGGTTTGGTTCCGGAAGCGGCGGCTCTGCTTCAAGGTCTAGTTCGGATGGTATCATGGGCGGAAGGTCTTGGTCTTGCGAACCGTCTTTCGAGCGATCAAAATCAAGGTCATCAGTTGCATCGGGGTCCCCTTCGACGGGCCCTGGGCTTCTGGGAGAAGCAGGAGCGTCGGGTAAATCGTTTTCAAGGTCGCCATAGTCGCTCTCTGCATCTGTCTCGTATATTACTGTTCTCTGTGAGTTCACCGATCCTCCTTTGGAATCTCGAAGCCTAGGACTGCTATTCAGACGAGCTGGTTTCGTCGGCGTCTCTGCTTGATCGACCGATGTTTGATGGGCTGTACCGTGTCGATGGGAAACCCGCGATTCTAGACATCCGGATTCCGGCAGTATATCGTTAGGAAACAACAGCATCGGCTCTGAATCTTGGAAAGGTTCTTCTTTAATATGATGCAACGCAGGTGATTCTTCCTTGATAAGTCGATCGGCAGTGCCGGCAGCCACATGCTTTTGTGGAGAATGAGTAGCGCCACGGAACTGAGAAGATGTAATGATTGCAATACCAGGGCTCTCGGGAGATTGTGACGAAGGTATCTCGTGTTTAAAGCGTTTCTTTGGCGTCACTGGAGCTTCGGACACTCCCCGGTTATTCGTAGCTTCCGCTATTACCGTCGCACCTGCTTCATCCTTGATTTCCTGTGCCTTGCGCCCGTTTAGTCTGGAATGACGGTCATCCTGTTGTTGGTAACTCTCAGGATTTCGAGAGTGCGTCTGCTGGATATCCTGTCCATCGTTCTTCTTAGGAGTAATGTAAGTATAGTCCAGCTTCACATCATCGTCTGGTTCGATCTTCAGATAACGCCGCACGTAGTCCATTTGAGTGAGGGTCTTATGTCCTTTCGCCTTGTCCTTGTCCTTTTTGCTGATATTGCTGCCCTCGCCGGCTTTTCTGCGCTTCTGTTTCATGTCGCCGCCACCTTGGGAGCTCCTCTTTTTCGGCTTGCGGGCGGCATTTTTTGCACCTCGTTCGAACTTGACACCACGAATGTCAGCCAGCTTCGGCTTCAAATGTGATGGCGGTTGATAATCGGCGTCATTCTCGGAGTCATCATCAATCTCAATCACCTCAGGATCTGCCCGTCGCCTGCTGCGGGGTTTGCTGTCTATGTAGTCGAGATCATCGTCATCGCCATCAGACCCTGTGTCCTGGGACTTCGGCGTGACAAAGTCAATCTGCGTAAGTGTCGGCTGATCCTGCAGACCGGAAAAAGAGCTTCTCTTCCAGGATCTCGACGTCGATGCAGAGGACGCTGAGGGCTCTGCCCTGGCTAATGCTGCTTTGGCCGCGTTGGTCTCTGTTGCCGGTCGTACTCTAGGAGGCTTGTCTGGTGTCTGAAATTGTCCCTGACTAGTGATGGTGCCGGTTATACCCGTACTCTCCCCTTGTCTCATCGCAACTCTGAATCGTCAGTGTCGTAGGTGAGTTTGCGGAGAGCCATAGGCGTTGCACGAGTCGATGGCCTCGGACGCAGCTCGTGGCCGATTAGATCAATGCGGACCGCGTAAATGGATTGATTCCTCAGTCAGCCAGATCGCGTCACGCGTCGAGCCCGCCATCTCCTGGTCCGTGCGTTCAGGCAGCAAGGCAACAACATAGCTGTTGCTCATACTCCGCCATGCCCATGCTACTTTCTGTTTTATACTTCACACGCAATGTCTGGCGGGCTCAAAGTTTCCTCCTGTTGCCGTTCAACGGGATCTGAGGTGCCTTTATTTATACCAAAAAGATATCAACCAGCTATCATCGCCTACCTGGCCTGTACCAGCCCTAAAGAAGCCCTTCATTTCCCTGCTTTACTAGCAGAGACTGCCTAGCAACCAAATCTCAGCCAAACGGAGAGCCAGAACAACAGGGGAACGAACCAGCGGAAAAGGAGGGAAAGGAACCATGAGTACAGCTTGACTATTTGACACATAATGGGCGATTATTATTGGCAGACTACCCATTCATGCTTGATCGACTTACCCATGCTGCTGATTGAGTTCAGTATTGCGTCACTACAGGACTCCGGGGAGCACCAACCATCCACCTATCTAAAATAATGGACTCCTCCATTCTTACCATCAGCAGTGGCAGAACCACTTCTATCACCTCTATTACCTCTATTCATCAAAATTCTCTTGTTCAATTCAACCGCAATCTCTCCTCTCAGAAAGCGCCGCCGAAGAGCGCACGCCTCACCAACTCCGCCACCACAAGCCCCAATTCACAGGAACCATGCTCACGAGATCCTTAAGACCCAAGGGAACCCTCCGCTGGACACGTCCAGGCCTGCCATACCGGCGGTGTTTGGCCCATGTCTCGAACGTCTCGGACCTCCCTACAGTGCGTTGCAGCCCACGCCCAGTTCACCATCTGACCCCGATCCACCTATGCCAGGATACAGAACTAAACCCCCTCCCTTATAGGAGGAAAACAAGCCTTTTAGCGTACCGATAGCAGACGACAGTTTCGAAACATACAATCTCGACCCTCCCCCCTACAGCCTGGAAACCACCAAAAGCCAACTAAAACAACTTTACTATGACATGTCGCTAATAAGGTCTCTTTCCACCCCCTTCCAATCATATTCGTTCTGGACACCCCAAATTAACTTTCCCAGACGCATGGAACTCGCAGCCGACAAGTTATACAAGGAACAAAAGATCCGTGGCTTTTGCCACCTCTCCACAGGCCAAGAGGCTGTCGCGGTGGGGGTAGAACACGGGATCAGCCCCGAAGACAAGGTTATCACTGCGTACCGCGCCCACGGATTCACTTTGATGCGGGGTGGGAGTGTCAAATCCATCATTGGAGAGTTACTCGGTCGCCGAGATGGCATTTGTCATGGAAAGGGCGGTTCGGTGCATATGTTTACAAAGAACTTCTTTGGTGGGAATGGGATTGTGGGGTCGAATGTACCGCTGGGGACGGGGATTGCGTTCGCGCAGCAGTATGATGATACTAAGAAGGTGACGGTGAACCTTTATGGAGATGGCGCTGCGAATCAGGGTCAGGTACATGAGGCGTATAACATGGCTAAGCTGTGGGAATTGCCTGTTATATTTGGCTGCGAGAGTGAGTTCGGTTGATTTCCAAATTTTTTCTCGTTTATCTTTCATCAGTTGTTCTTGTGTTATGTTGGATCACCCGGGACTCATTTTCTAATGCCATGTCTTGTCGCAGATAATAAATACGGAATGGGCACATCCGTGGAGCGCGCTTCCGCCATGACCGAATACTACAAACGAGGATACTACATTCCCGGTCTACGCATCAACGGAATGGACGTTCTGGCCGTGATTGCAGCAATGAAGTATGGCAAAGACTACGTGTTGGGCGGAAATGGACCTTTGCTGTACGAATTCCAAACATACCGGTATGCGGGACACTCGGTATCTGATCCGGGGACGGCGTACCGGAGCAGAGACGAGGTGCAGGCTGAGCGGGCGAATGACCCTATCACGACTTATCGAGAAAAGATGATTGAATGGGGCGTGCTCAGCGAGGACGATGTTAAGACGATGGATAAGGAGATCCGAAGCAAAGTTGACCGTGAAGCTCAGGAAGCGGAGAAGATGGCGGAACCACCCTTGAATTCTGATGTGTTGTTCGAGGATATTTATGTTCGTGGTAGCGAGCCAGCCCAGCGGCGCGGGAGAACCGTTGATGAGACATACATCGGGGTTGATAAGGTAAAGCCACCGAAACTTTAATCCCGAGGGGTGTTGCGCTTTCATAGTGAGCTCATAGGCATGTGCCTCGCATAAGTTAGGTCGGTATAGTCTAGTCTAATTGAACGTCATTATGATTAGCAAGGCCTCGGATAGTAAATAAAGGGCATGCAGCACTTAGGGAGTTTGTAGCCAGTAGACCCTAACCGAACGACGCGTATTCTGCTGTAGACAGGTACCATAACAGCATCGTCCAAATGGCTTCATTCAATCCAACCTTGAAAACCCCCGAGTACTGCACTGCAGACTTCTCTCTAATTCCAGTATGTGACCACTTGTTTCTATTTAGCTAAAGGGAGACAGAAAAATGGCTCGGTCGATACCAAACTCTAACACCCGTGACCTAGATCGGCTCTCAAAGCGCATCCTTCTCGAAGCAGGTTGCGGATATCCAGCGTCTGATGCAGAACTCCGGTCTCAAGTATCAGATGCACGCCACTGGAACTATAGTTGGTATGCTTCCGTTCATATTCAACCCGTTTCGATGCTGGATCGGAATCTTTGTCGTGGATATCGGCCCGAACTCTGCATGAAGCAACGTTGTACGGCTTCCATGTGGAGACTTTATTCTGAGATCAAGGGCTGTCTCCCATCTTTGTTCTTGCAAAGCTGATACATTTGGTTAAAGAGGGATCGTGGGACCAGGTATCCCAAGTCATCGGATACGCCCACACGCTGATTCACCAGGAAGGCATCGCCAGGATTCAGACGGACATTCGAATCACCACTAGGTGAGTTTGCTTTTCGTAGTTTTACCCACTTTCCTGGCCGTTATCTCAGACTAGTGTATAGGACCGACAAGGTGCAGCCTATGGAGGCCAATATAGCCTCGGTGCAGAGGGCTCTTGCGACTTAAGGTGGCCTTGGGACAACCGTCTGGGCGCGTATAGGAAGATGTGCGTCTTGTGTTTTGAAAGTCTAAGTTTCAGTACAAGTCAGTAATCTAGGATGCCAAGTGAATGATGAACGCTGTTTACAGAACCATATCAAATCCACACATAACTAGCAGCATACTCATTTGTGGATATGTAGTCAGCCCCCCCTCCGATATGCCCTAGCGATGAGATACGTAAAGGTATGTAATAGACTGGACGACTCTATCCCAGAAACCTTGTAAGTGTTTTTGATCCCTGTTATGGTCCGAGAGCCCAACTGATCTTAGACCAGGATCCCGCTCCTGTTGGATCGACGGAAGCGGAAAGTCAACGAGAGGCAAGAGGGGGAGAAGTCAATCAACCTGCGACAGTATCTCCTGCTGTGTATCTCTGCCCATCACCAGTTTGGCCCACTGTACTACAGTGGAAGGTGCATCTCATCGTTGTGCTCCGGTGAGAACGATCAAGTTCGGGCGTGCGTATCTATGCAGACCGCGTACTAGCGGCGTGCGCTGAATCTATTTTAGAGTGTACCGGTCACAGCCAGATGTCCTATCATCGCGATGACGGCGGGGTAAGTTGATTTTGGATTCATTCACATGGGTGAGGTGAGCCTTTTTCTTGCGTTAGTATCATCTAACCCGAGGTTCCCCGAACGTCAGGGCAGCATTCCTGCGGTAATTGGCAGAAAAACCAAATGCAACTAGCTGGAAGCTCCTGCATCTTGGTGGATACGGGAGGGGGGAGGGATTTGTTACCTGGCAAAGTGGGAGGCATGCCACGCATATCGACGTCACAAGACGGATGTTGCTGGCCAGCCAAAGCTCTGCATGAGGCGTTGAGAAAAGAGGAGAGAGAAGAGAGCCCAGTCACAATAGATTGGGGGAGTCAGACAGATCTCGCTGGCTGACGAGAGAGACGGATAGATAGCCGTCCCAGGGACATGGACGAAGAAAGCCAGGGATAAGGCACGATTACCAGGACGGGGTTTAGCCTGGACGAGCGCATCAAATGAAGGACGAGTTTGGGGGTGGAGAAGTTCATCTGGCGGATCCTTCCACGGCTGGAAAAGGTGGAAAATGGAAATTGGGAAATTGGGGGAAGCTTTTTTCTTACTTGCTGGCCAGTCGTGCCTCTTGCCTGTTCGGGACTCGCTACGATTCGACGCCTGGCAACGATGGAGTTCAATCTGTTGCTTAGTGCCGTCCTTCGTCCTCCAACCAGTCCACCCAGCATAATGGAGCCACTCACTGTCCTGATGACACTATTCCGAGGAGGACAGGCATTTAGAACAGGCGAAAGTTGATGCTAATGAGCCTAAGGGAAGAAATTCCAAGCCTGAAAAAAGAATTAGCACTGGCATGGAAAACGAAGCATGGTGAGAGGCTAGAGCTGGCCCTCCTCGATCATACAAGACCGAAACAAAAGTACGAAGCAGGACGAATTAAACAATATGACAGAAGGCACGCAGTCAAGAGGGAAGGATTCTACCATCCAGATAGAAACTCTCTCCCACTGGCCTTCATATGCCTGACGGAGGCAAGATCTGCGGCGTAAGCGTTCTATTAATTAGATGTCCAGGCATGGATGGCTGGGGATGGTAATCCCGAACGCCCGAAATAAACTCCCCGGTCCAAAAGTCTCCTCCCAGTCTTACATCTGGCCTCTGCAACGATGACACGACCACAGCCTTGGGTCCTGTCTGTCATGCGTGCGACAGCTTGCTAATGCACCCGATCATGCCCCGAGAAAAGCAACCTGAAGTCTGGACACTAGAAAGAGCGTCGATGATTTGTTTATCGTTCGGTATTGACGGCCCATAGTGCTAAGAGACTATCCAGGAAGCATGGCACGAGCTGAGCTGGCCCGAAACAGATCGTCCGCCAGGCCAGCACACCATCCTATCCCCTCTTACCATCCACGCGGACTCGAGATGAAGAAATTCCGTTCGGTTGGCTCTAACTATCCCGGTCTATACTTGCTAGGATTAACCACGCAAGTTGCCTGCAATGTAACGTCTTTGCTTTTTGCTTTAGGCATAGGCACATACCGTCAACTGAAACCAAAACCCCACAGCAATGTGTTAGCATCTCCATGCATCTTGTACCTAGAACATGCCTCGCCCGTCTTGGACCGCAGTACTACGGAGTATTTGGGACTGTAAAACGTAGGGAAGATCTCCGCTCCTGCGTGCAGAGGCCTGATTTGATGACCATAGTAATCTCTATAACGCTGCAGCGATAGGAAAGGAAGGTGGTTGGCTAATTTATTGATGCACCAGCACGAAACGGTATCTGCTCTGCTCATCAATCAAGAGGGTAAGGATGCTCCATCCCAGGCTAAATTTTTGACTGGGTACGGCGCAGATTATTGTCCAGCCTGATTTGAGATCCGGAGACTAAATGCAGATATTAAGGCATATTACTCGGCGTGGTCGTCTTGGTAAGTCCCAGGCCCAGTACGCTGGGAGCATCGTGACATGGTTACACCCACTTATTGCCAGGCATGCAGGTAATTCTCAGCTTAGCGCGGGAATCTCGACTCTTCAGAGACACGTGATATAGTCTAGAAGAAAGCTCCAGAGTACCTCTGAATGAACTATGACCCGATTGTACTTAGTTGGGTGAAACGAGGATCTGGTGGGAACGGGGGAGTATAATTGGGTATACAGGAAGGGGAAAAGTATCCGCATGCGGAAGTCGGCCTTCACGCCTTGTGGCGGACAGAGCGTCTTCGAAAAGTCGAGGACATCAGAAACCAGTAAATTTTGGAGATCTAGCCTAGGAAGCTCGCAGGGCTTGGCATGTCGTTCTCTTCCTCGTTCTTACCTGGCGCAGGCGAGTCTGCCCCTATCAGAGCCAAGAATGCGTACACCATGCCCACCCGAGTTACGGGGCATGCGCGCCGCAGACCCGTTTGGGATCCCTTTTGTCTCGCATCACTTGGGAGCTCATTGCAAAGCACACCGCGATATTGACCCTTATACCTGCAAAGTCTGTTGTTGTCGCTAAGCTTTGTCCTGGGTCACAGCCCACAAGCATTTTGGATTATAGTCATCATCATTTGGAAAATTTCCTGACCGAGGTATCATCACCACGTCCCCACCGCAGCCCATACACCGCTACAAAGAGAGTAGCAGCAATGTAGGACGGATACGTGATAGCCCACAATGTTTTCTGGTGTGCAATGCGGTCGTCCTAGGCTTGTGGCAAGGCCCGCTGTTACAGCAGTATTGCCAGAGCCTGCAAGTTAGAGGTGCGATGGACCTTCATACATTTGCACCGGCCATGGTGTAAAAGACCACAAGTAAGCCGGACCCTCACCCAATAGAATTTGGTAGTAAGCAGAATGCATGCTAGCTAATAGTAGGAAGGAATGAAGGAAGGTCGTCCCGGCCTAGCTTCAATCTATCGTGAATTTATTTTCGGCACCGGCTCGGTTGTCAAGGTCATTGGGAGGAGGGTGGGCTGCAAGGGCCAAAAACCAGGCCAGCGACCAAGGAGAGTGAGCTAACTACTACTACTACTCAAGAAAAGCCGGACAAGGCCGGGTCTTGAACCAGAGCCAGAGCATCATGGTGATAGTAGTAATCCGTCACTTGGCAGATCTGACTTAGCTTGGTAAGAGAAGGGAGCCACTCCAGTGACAGGGATCGAGAAAGCCGTTGGAGTGATCAGTCTGATAGTCCACCATGGTGATTGACGGACAATCTCAACATGCAGTAGCCCAGCCATCACTATCCTCCTCTGAGAGTTAGTGAGTGGCACTTGGTAGGCTCTTACGTCCGCTAGTGTACTGGGGTGAGACGGCCTGGTCCTGCAACTCCAGGAGGAGGGGTGTGTTTATTTTTTTTTTCTTTTTTACCAAGTCCGCGCCTCCGCTAAAGCTCGACCCCCAAATGATCGGAGCAGGCTTGCTAGGCTCCCTGGAGTCCTTCCTTTTCTTCCATGGTGGCCCCCTCTTTTCCTCCCTCCCACCCCGCTAGACAAAAATCTCAAGGGTATCTTTTTTGGACGGCCGCCATCGGCCTCCCCGAGAGTCTTTCGTTTCGCTCGGCTCCATCATCCATTCCACTGAAATCCCTGCAATGGGTCAACAGGGTTCTTTACCTAATGTAGCCTATAGTACACGAAGCATAACATTGAATAGCGCTATTCCGAAAAACTGGAACACGAAGTCACCCAATCCCTGCTGTTCAGGAACTTAAGATGACTGGCTATTCGTCCCTGTTGGTGGGACATGCACAACCAGACTAACGAATTAAGACTGGGGACACTTGTCTCCTGTTTGTTCGTATCAATCGGGATATGCATCATGCACCGCGGGATCTGAAGAAGAACAGACCCTCAAGTAATGTTAGAAAAAGAAAAAGATATTACTGCTGAGCTCAAGATTTTCCCAGCATTATGCTTCTCAGGACTGGGAAAACGAGGAGCCATCGTGGGTGTGACCGAATGATGGGTCTCAACGACATCATTCGAGAAAAACCTAAATATATTAAACATGGCACTGCACGATATTTCCGGCACTGTGATCCCTGCCCCTTGTATACACGACCGAAAACCCCGATATTGACGATGGAAGGACGCTTACACGCTGTCTCCGTTTGATGTGAACTACTCATTCAACTGGGGAGGAAAGAGTATTACCCTGACACCTACGGTATTGTAAGAACAGGGCGACCATCTCATGTATGGCCTGGCACGAATTCATCAAGGTACCAGCCGGGCACCTCTTTAGAGAAGAGTTACTGGGTGGAGATGTGCGCGATGATTTGGATTCTTGACATTGAGCCGGCAATTGACGAGAGGAGTGTTGTTCATAGCCTTGTCTTTGATCCGACGGAAGGCCAGCTCTTGATACCGTACACGTATCGTCTACGGGGTACTCCCCAAATTACTCGGGGAGGCATCTAGTCTTTCCGTATTCGTAAGCTTGTCTGGATGAGTGGCAGAGCCACGCAGAGAGTTTAGCCATCCATCGAAAGCCTGGAATGAAGCTCGACTATCACTTCCGACAACATCCAGGTCCGTGCCAGTCTCAAATGGCGAAGAGGGCAATAATTACTAGGATTTGGAGTAATCAATTCTACTTGGAGATGAGGGACCCGACGATATCGCAGGTATGATGAAAACGTTTCACCCACGCCTAGAGTCTTGATCGACCACAGGTGACTATGGCATGCATGTAAGTCTGGATTCAAACTGGACGCTGATGGAATCCTTCCGACAATAAAGTGGGCGGAAACAGTCCAACTGCAGACGATAGCCTTTCTTAGGACTTGCTACTATACTAAGCTACCCATAGGCTAGTATGTTCTCGGGATCGTAGTACTAGTACTGTCCCAATATATTTTGATTGTTACCTTCGTCAGGCTAACGGAGCAGGAACCTCGCGACCAACAATGCTTCTGCGGGGCGACGATCCAGTCGAACCCATGCAAGCGACCAATTTCAAATAACAATGAGACATCTGCGAATGTCGTACGATGTTGGGAGGGGGTTTTATCCCTCCTTTGGGTATGAAAGCCGGGAATGAGTTGGGATGGAAAGTGGTAACTGCAGTCCAAGCTTAGTTTAGCATCATTGTTCATACTTGTCGGTGGTTGAAGAACCGGTTTCCCCATGCGGAATGACCATGTGACAACGATATTCTCGGGAGAGTTGCTTGATGCTGCTGGCAGTCAAATCTGAGCCAACTGAGATTCTGCAGTAGCTACACCTGACATCTACAGGACACACATTTGCCAATATTCCAATCAAGGACATTTGACTCACCAAGAAACTTTTCATTCACCCTTCAGAGACGGGAGCTTCCCGGCATCGCTGGGAGTGGAGTGTGGGCCTAATGAATTTGGAATCAAACCAAGGGGAGCAACCAGAAGCTGTCGAGGTCGAGTGGGACAAAGTGGAGGGGAATTCCGCCGACGAAAAGGTGGGTCAAGTTATCCCGACAGACTGGATACTGCGGTACCTCCGTCTGCTCTTGATTGATTATCGCTTCTCTTTTTCTTTTTTCTTTTTTTTTTTTCTTTTTAATTTCCTCTTTTTGCTATTTCTCTTCCCCGAGTCACAGAACTGGTGGATGAACTGAAATTCAGGCCCAAAAAGGGCCGGGAGAAGAGGGAGGCACGCGTCTCTCAACTGGCTGTCTGCCAGTTAGTCTATTTAACTTTCCTAGAGTCAAAATAAATTACGCAGGCTTATCTCGCTGTGTACTAGGATCATGCAAATGCATGCGCCTCAACATCCGTCTAACTTCAGCCCAGTCGGGATATTGGGGGTCGCAGTCCATGGATGCGCCTTTCCGGCGGTGCGGCACCAACAACCATTGGATCCCAAATTCGGTTGAAGATCACCCAATCTGCTTCCCCTCCTGGATGATGTATCACTGCTCCATCCCGGAGGTACCGTGTAGCTACGTACTCTTGCACCTTGTTGTTCGGAAATCATGCAATCTTCCTGCTTCGTCGTCTTTACTACAGGGGACACAAGGCCACAGCTACAGCAGGTCTTAGGACCTGTCAGGATTCCAAATGCTTTTCTCGAACAAAAATGTCCGGACCATTCGGGCCGCCACACTGGGTAGGCCGACCAACATTAAGTTATTAACCGACCTTACCATCTCGACCATCTGGGCCCCTGATTAGCGAGCGTCTCTTAGTCCGATATGCACAGGACTATCAATTTAGTAATAGTGTTTCGCCCCCCGTCGCTGGCTGCTCCCGGCAGCCTGGGACGCCCGTGCTTTTTCCCTTACCTTTTTTCTTTTTTTCCCTTTATTGCTTTCGTTTTGGATTCTGATTAGTCCAGCAGCTACCCAGTAACCTGGCACCAATGCCCAGCGGGAGGGGCAATTTAAAAAAGAAAAAAGAAAAACAGGAAAGATGAAAAAGCCAGACGGGCCGGAGGAAAGAAATAGGCAGATCTTAATGACCTACTGATGAATGCGTTGTCAATCTCCCCCGGCCTGGCCGCAATAATTGAACGCTAGTGTATGTCTTCCCCTCATACTGGGAAAGAAAAGGTAAAAAAAAATAAAATAAATAAAAGAAAAGAAAAGGCTACCTAATTTGAAACCACGGTCAACTCCGACCTGAAGGAATGGGAGACGATCCTCGAAGTCGCTTCAAGTGATCATGGAACCCCTGCCGGGGACCCAAAGGATCGGAGGGCCATTCGTCTGCGGTAGTACCCGTTGTTTCCGAGCGGAAGCTGTAGAAGAAGAGAGAACTTTCCGAAGGGGTCAAAATGGATTTGATTAGCTTTGTGTTGGAGACAGGAAAAGTTAATTGGGGGGGCTTTTTCTCGGTGACGCTAGGCAGGAAGAATGACCACCACTAACATAACCTACTTGCGTCTTCCTGCGTCCACCGTACTTCGTATCGGAAGGCAACAATGCAGAGGCAAACGGGAAATTAAGCACCTACATACATGGGCTATATGCAGCAAGCACCATGCGGGAAGCCCAGCTATGCGGACATTGGGCCAGCCTGTAGGTAGGTGTAATCGAGGTAGGTATAGTGTCTAGTGTCCAAGTAAGTCAAAAAAATTTAAGATCAGACATTGGATGGGCTTGGGTTTCCCACCACCCGAACAGAACCGCCCACTCGGTTCACACAAGTAGTATCTATCCTACCTCTCTAGAATTTACATTTTTTATTGTCCTTTTCCCACCCCCTCGCGCCCGTGGGTACCACCCGGTCCCTAATACCCAGTACCTTATAGTGAGTATCTATTACTATACAGAGAAGGCCGCCGCCTAAGGACCGAAAAGTCTTACTGCAAGTAGGGATAGTGTACTACCCTAACTGGTTTGGTCAGTCACTGAGAGCCAACCTAACTTTTTTTTTTTTTTTCCTTTCCCTTCATTTTTCATTTAGCATCTTGCAACTTGTTCTGTCGCGCAGATTATCATTATTGTTTATATTATAATATGAATACCTTTTTTTTTTTTTTTTTTTTTTTTCTCTGTATCCAATGGTGTGTAATGGCTGTCTCTCAAATAAAAAAGCCCCTTAATTATGGTGATTGTCTGGCCCAGTCACGGCCAAGAGTTTCTGGTATCTTTCTAATTTTCTTACTTCTATTTAGCTTTGAGGAGGATTAGGTATCTTCCCTCCCCTCCCCCATCCTGCTAAAGTCAAACTTAATCCAACCTGTCGGGTTCAGGGAAGGAGATTGGGAAAAGACAGCCGACGGCCCTCCTCTGCCACCCACTTCTGATGCTACCTACCCACAAAATGTCAACCACCCCCTGTCCAGCAACAATTATAGACTCCGTAGTGCTGAGGAGGAACCTGTCAGTCAATCTTAAATACTATCTGGCCTGCCCAGATGCTCTCCAACTTCCGGCATGACATCTTCGAGGTTTTCCAAATCCCATAGCCCTCCCCTCCACCCTGTACAGTAACGGAGAATTTGTAACCCTTCTTCGCCACGACTGTCTCTACAATACTCTACGACCACCTACTACTACTACAACAACAACATCTGCATACTTTCCCGTAAATACAAACCCTTCTTATTCTTATCAATTTTAGGCCATCGAGTCCGTGCTGGGATTGAATTTCTCATATTATTTCCTTATGAGATATCGTTTTTATTTTTAAACCAACTCACCCTCGTCGAGCATCCACTGACTAAGTCGCCTTACCGAGCCCTGGGCCTGGATACTACCTGCGTACTACCATTCCGACCCCCACTCGGACGCTGGCCTCATAAGCCCCAGTTTCCCAAGTCCCCTGGTACGCATAATGCCTACGGGTAGATCAACTGTGAGCACTCCCCTACTTGAGTCCCTGACAAGGACCAATCTCTTCTGTTTGTTGTGGTTGTGGTGGTGGTCTTTTCTCCAACTCTTTGCTGTTGCTCTTGGTCGCCATCTACATTGTTCTTTCGATCGGCAACCTTCTAGTATTCACTAACACACCATGTCGCAGGGATCTAGTCGTGAAGAGTAAGTACTGTCATTTCCAATATACCCAAAGAATAAGCCAGAGGTGCAAGACCTGCTTGGTTACTCGCATGTTCACTTCTATTGGTGGTGTCAGTGCTAAATGTGACAATAGTGACACGCAGTCATTGACTGCCAGTGTAACGGATTACCCCATGGAATATGGAAGACGATACCACAAATATCATGAGGGCTGTATGTGCAGGCCTCTTCGATCTATTGGAGTCAGCCTCCTCGTCCCTGACTAAATCACTCTTTCCCCAGCATACTTATATCCCAACGACGAGCAAGAGCTAGACCGTATGGACATGCAACACCACATGCTCAAATTGGTCAACCGCGGGCGGCTGCTCTTTGCCTCTCCCCAAAGTCCAAAGAGGATCCTAGATGTTGGCACTGGCTCCGGTATATGGCCCATAGAACTAGGTAAGCGAAAAGAAAAGCTCTTTCCCCCCATCCTCCCCAGCTCATCTTACCGGACAGTTTCTCATCGTGTCTCCATCACATGTAGCGTCTGAATTCCCAGCAGCCGAGATTATAGGAACCGATCTTTCGCCTGTACAACCGAACGAAGTCCCCGAGAACGTCCATTTCCTAGTCGATGACGTTACAGAGGACGAGTGGCTATGGGGCCCCAACCACTTCGACGTCATCCATGCTGGTCACCTTTCGGGTTCTCTGCCATCATATAAAGACTTGTTACGGAAAGTCTTCAAGCATCTCAAGCCTGGTGGCAGCGTCCAATGTGATGAGTTTGATCCGAAGCCGAAATGCGATGACGGAACCATGCCAGAAGAGGATCCCGATAAGTTCAGTGAATACGCCCTCCAAGATCTGATGGATCTACATCACCGCGCCGGCCAGGCTTCAGACCCGCCCCGGCAGTTTCGAGTGGCCCATCGGTTGGCACGCTGGATGAGAGAAGTAGGATTCGAGGATGTTCAGGAGCGAGTCCAAAAAGTACCCGTGAACCCTTGGTCTACCGACTCTCATCTGAGAACGATTGGTTCGTGGAACGAGACAAACCTGCTGGAAGCCGCAGCTGGCTGGTCTTACAAGCCTCTCACGATTCTTGGCTGGTCGAAGCCCGAGATCGAAGTCTTCCTTGTCGATGTTCGGATATCCATTCAAAACCGTGATGTTCACGCCTATTTGGATTACTATGTGGTCACAGGAAGAAAACCACATCCTGCTTAGTGAGAGAGCCCTTGAAGGGTTTCACTGCGAATTTTACGGCCTCGAAAGAAAAGCACCACATAGCAGATAACGTCCTTTTTGGATTATCGTTCCTTAGCGTCTATACCTCCTTTTTCCGTCATCGCCGGATCTGTCCTTATTTTCATCTACCATTTCCTTGTGTGTTGGCAAGCATTGGCATAAGATACCACCGACTACTACAGAGAAACATCATATATGCATAGAAGGCGTGCAGGGGCCTCCTTTTCTTTTCATACTTTCTATTCCACTTTTCTATTCTTGCACATATATAAATACAGCCGACATAATTTGTCTAGTCATTCACCGTTTTCTTTTTGGGTTTAGCGAACAGGCAAATATAGACATTCAGTATACAAGAATAAACTAAACCCACGAGCATTCAGCCTTACGACAATATCCCCAGTCACCCAGTATTCCACTCAAACAAAGAAACATGAAGAGAAGGAAATTGAAAAAAAAAGTTTCTACTCCTCTGTAACACCCTTAAAATTCACCACAGCGTAACAACTCCCCCAAACATCACTAGCAACTAGCCCAGTGACTACGTACCTAAGCGCAAAGCACGGTTCCCCAATTCGGGGCAACCCGCTTACTCATCCACCCAACGCTCTCTCCAAACCTTCGAAGCTCGCTCCATCCCAATTCCGCCTTTGCTAATCAACCACATCTGACAGGCCGCGAATTGCTTCAATCCAATTATACCTACCCACCGCTGTCGCATGCCTCATGTCTCTCGGCAGACATGCCTACAGGCATGCATCATCATCGTCTAATAATCTCCTCGATCACGTCTGGATCAGCGAGGACTTCCTAGCTTCCGCGTTCCGACGCTTCGCTAACGGCCAACGACGCTACGAGAGCCGCGTTCCGGGGCCATTGGAGGCTCGACGACGACTCGCTAAGAGGAGGAATACTGCCCTCGCTGGGATTGCGGGGACGGGGCCGCTGGATGATATTGCTTGTTTGTTTGGGCGCAATGGGAGGGAACATATGAAGTGGACGACCACGACGGAGGGGAGGAAGGCGAAGGGTAAGATATTGGATCTGTTGGAATACTATTGGTGGACGATGCTAATGGTGCTTGGTGTTGGTAGGTTCGCATTTTTATCAATTGAGTACGCCGTCGCCGTCGCCGCCGCCGCCGCCGATTCCGTCTGCGTATAATGGGGATGGTGTTATTGAGGATGAGTTTGCGTTGGGGAGGCCGTCACCTGGGAGGCCGGATATGCCGCCGGATGGGCCTGATGAGGTGTCGCGCGATCAGTATCTGAGGAGGCGGTTGAGAGAATGTCGGACGGTCGAGGCTGTCAAGAGGGTTGTTCGGCAATTGGATGTTGATCTTTTGCGAGAGCCGGGGTATAGCCGTTTCATATTTGATCACTTGTTGTCGTGTTCCAGGAGGGGAGAGTTGGGTGTGGATGAGCTTGTGTCGTTCCTGGACGACCCGCAGCTAAATATTCGGGGAGCGAGGAATTATTTGACTGCGGTCGAGCATATCGCTTCGCGCGGAATCAGGCATGGGAAGTGGCATCCACTCTTCGACAATGTCGTTCAGGCTCTGGAGCTTGGGATTGTTCCGCCTGAGGAGTTGTGCGCTATAATAGAGGCTATTGCGAAGGCAGCGCCGGCGAAGACTGAGAGAAAGAGGCAGTTCCCGGATACGGTCACGGCAATGTATCAAGCGATGTGGGATGCAATTGGACAATGCGATATCTACGGGCACAGTGATCTCGATGAGGGGATAGTTGACGCGTGGCTTGGTGCTCTATGGGAGAGGAACGTCTGCGATGATTTGCCCTTGGCTAAAAGCATACTCCTTGCCGCTCAGAGACTGGAGTCGGCATGTTGCTCGTGGGCTACTCTGTTCTTGACGCGTTGGCTGGAGCTTCCTAAGAAGCTGCGAGTTGGCGCTGGTGAAGTCTACGCGAGTGATATACTGAGCAGTTTCAAGCCTGATCTTGCAACAGCAGCTGTCATATCGACCACTGAATTTTTGGCGTCGAACAAGAAAGATCTACTTGGGCGGTGGCACAGCTGCTTATTGCAGACCAAAGATATCCCGCAACTTGTTTTGTCAAAAGCATGGCTTGATGTTCGATCGCGGCACGGTATAACGGAGTCAAGTCGCTCGCTGCAACATCAGATCATCTTACGCATATGGGCTCTACGAACTCTCAGCAAAGGCCTTGCCGACGGGCCTCTATGGAGGAAGGATGTACGAGCCACAGACGTGCCTATAAGACGCCTCTTCGGCCTCTACGAGTCCATCAACAAGAACGAAACCAGCGAAGACGTGCTAAGCAGTCTAATGAAAGGCATCCATGACCTGGGGCTACCAGCGAACGGCCTCCTAATACTAGCTGTCGACATGAAAGCCCGCAACACCCTCACCAAATCGGCCCGTCGCACCCTGACCAACATGGAATCATCATCCAACATCTCTTTCGCCAACATCTTCGCCAACCTTGACGCCTACAACGCAAGCACCCCCCACTTCTTCACCAAATTCGAGCAAATGACCCGCCAAATCGACATCACCTCCCCCGACTTCATCTCCCACGGCCTCGACCTCGCCAGAACCGGCGACTCCCGCAGCGTGTGGACACTCATCCGCCTCCTCCGTTCCCACACCCCTCTCAAAATCGCCCTCTCCAAATCATGGATCCCTATCCCCGACCCCTCAGAAAAAGCTCTCGTGCGCTACTACCCCGAGCCCAGAACCAGCGACTGCCCGGACCCGCACGCAGCTCTCGAAATGATCCACCTTCTTGCCGTGTCACTTGCGTGCTCAAGGCGCCTGAGCCCGCGCCGTTCTTACAGTCTCGTGCATTGGCTGTATGTCTTCCTGGTGAAGCATAATGCGCCTGTTAAGCCGGCGATTGCACGTGCTTTGTATCATGCTGGTGTTGAACGCTTTCGGCGGGAGGGGTTGCGTGTTTCGCTCACGCAGTATGCGTATATCTATGACGTTGTGGAGGAGGTTGAAGGGTCTGATGTCGTTGAGAATCTTATGGAGCCGCCGAGGATTGGACATCGGTTTTCGGGGGGTGAGGAAGGGGAAGCTTGTTCTGAGTGAGTGTGAATACGAAGAGCTGCTGTGGTTGGTGAGACGTGTTTTACTTTAGTTTGGCTTGATACCCGGACTGTATACTAGTAGTATAGATATAGTGTTCTTAAGGGAAATGTATGCCTCTTAGCGTATTTACTAGAGAGATATGGTCAGGGTTCTACGCAAGTAGAAACCTTTTCGAATCGTCCTAAATTTCAACAATCATAATGGCAATTATTCATGCGTGGCCCATATTTAAGATAAGATAAAGCCAGCCCGACAAAACCAGTAGTAAATAAGAACCTTTCTTTGCTCTAGTCGTTACAACAACAATAACAACACATCATTTAGACATCCACCTCCATCAAATTAGGATCACCAGACGCCTCCTCAACAGAGATATACTTCCGCATATCCTCCTTGCTGATGATCTTCTGGTTCAAATAAGCCGTAGTACCCTTGGGGAAGCGGTAATTGCGCTCCTTCTCGCCACGCTCATTAGGCCTGATGTAGTTCCGCAGCAACTGCGTAGGCTTGTCCTTCTCAATGACGCAAACATCGACATTGCTACCGGATCCCAGATCGTTGAAGATACCGGCCTTGATGGCCTCCGCGCACAGGGCGATCGCGCCCTCACGGTCCAGATTCGGCTTCCATGTCGACTCGAACACCGACATCGCGGCCAGAGAACCTGATCCCATGGTCACGTAGGGAAGCTTGTCGGTGGATCCGTGGGCGTGAACGGTGAAAAGACCAATGCCGGTGGGGTCGACACCCGCCACAACCAGGTAGGCGCCGATGTGGCCTTGGTATCGGAATAGGTGCTGCTTCAGCATCGTCATGCAGGTGATTACGCGTGGGGGCCGGCCCGTCGAAAGTGCGTGCAGTTCGATGTTCGAGCTGATCAACGCCGTCGTGAACTCGGTGTCGGCGGCCGTTCCGGCTCCGGCGCACCAGATCTTGGGCGCGATGTAGTGTAGTTTCTCGCAGTTCTGGAGGTGTGGGGGGTAGTGTGTTAGTTGTTGAGTTGGGTTGTTGGAGATGGATATGAATGTCCTGGGAAAAGGGGTGCTTACCTTGTCTGCTACTATCGGGCCGCTGGTGGCTCTGGTATCTGCTGCAATCTGTGGTTATGCCAGATGTGGTGAGTTCGTGATCGTCGTCTTGGGTACTAGGGAGCTTGTTGGGTTGCTTCGGAAGTACCTACCACAACGCCATTGTCGTATATACATCCCACGATGGTGGTACCGGTGCTGGTGGCTTTGGGAAGAGGGACTCCCTTCGCGTGGAGAGCCGCGTTACGGTTGTAGTTGGAGAAATCGAAGCCTGTCATGGTGACGGCGTGGAAAGGTGATGTATTGTGAGGGGGCAGGAAACCAGTGTGAGCTGGGAGAATTGAAACTCAGTTGGAGTGAGGAGGAGCTGAAGCTTGAGGAGGGAAGATGAAATGCCGAAAACAGATGACGGGGGAAGAGCAGGAAGCTATAGCAGGACGCAGAGAGATGGCGGAGGAGGAGCTGCGAGTTGATGGAGTGACGAAGCTCCGGGCGCCTGATCGCGGCGGCCTCAGGCACGTTACGGATTAGCTAATGGGCGAGCAATTCCGCTGTTTTTGTCCGGCTGGGAATCTGGCGCCGAACTCCATCTCCATTCTTGTTGCTCCTGCATTATCGGCAGTCATTGACTGTGCTGTTGTTTCTCTTTTCCTTAGGGTCGTTGTGAACCCCGTCTTCTTCATCCCACTTCCTTCCCTTGAGGGGAGGTGGTCAAGATTTTTGCGCGCACCTGGAAGCTCTTCAATCGGAGTCCTCAAGCACTCCAGCGTCGCTCCTTTTCGTCTTCGCCGCAAAGTCCACCTTCTCCCCATGCTTCAAAGACTCGGTTATCTCTAGGCGACCGTCCTCGTTCAATTTCGGCCGATTTTGATAGACTCAGAATGGCTTTCAGCTTTGGAGCCTCCAACCCCGCCGGGGGTGCTGCTGAACTGGGCCCCGAGCTTCCTGATGTTTTTGCAGAGGTATGTCGCAATGCCGTTGGGGTTGCGAATCGATTTTGAGCTGACATGGTGACCAATCGAATTAGGAAGTCGGGTTTAAAGGCGTGTCCAGCGATAGCAACGTTCGATTACTCAATACTCCCTGGCCCGAAGATTCCCTTCCTAGCCCTACGAGCTCCCTTCTCGCTGTCGCAGCAACAAAAGGCGTTGTTGTTGGTGCTGGGCCAGACGCCCTCTATATCGCCTCCTCTAACGAAATAAGAACCGCTATATCCGCATCCACAGGAGATGAGAAGGTCAAGACCAAGCCCTTCCAGCCGCGCGCCACGATTCCTCTCCCCGCCCGACCTACGCATATCACTTTCGCCTCAGGCGATAGCGCCCTAGTATTGGCGACAGAGAATGGTACACAGCTTTCGGTGTTTGAGACGGCAAGTCTCTTACAAGGGAACGCGCAACCGGCTTTGTCTATCCCGACGAATGGAGCTACCTTCCGCTTCCTTGCCCCCAATCCCGCACAGTCGGAAGACTCGCACTCATCCCTTGTTGCGCTTGTCACCACGGGGGGCGACCTCCTCATAGCCGATCTGAAAGCTGGAAACCTGCTCTCGGGCCCCAATGGCCAGGTCCTGAAGTCGGGAGTTAGCACGGTTTGCTGGAGTAACAAGGGCAAGCAGCTCGTGGCAGGGCTTGCGGATGGCACTGGATTCCAAATGGCCCCAGATGGTGCCCAGAAGGGTATTATTCCGCGCCCTCCTGACCTGGAGGAAAACCATCACGGTGCGTTCTGCGTCTAATGTCTCTACTACTCCCCAATATTCTAACCCGTGCAGTGTCCTCTATCGCCTGGCTTGAGAATGACATCTTCTTGATGGTCTACACATCGAATGCTGTGGAGGATGATATGGGCCAGACACCATCTTCGCCTTATTATATCATCACCAGGAGGAAGAATGCGCCTTTCTTGATCCAGAAATTGCCCGAATTGTGCATGCCCTTTGGCTTCAAGCGCGCCCCTGCCTACCAGTTCATCGCGCGTCTTCGAGAATACAAACCGCATTTGAAGGATGTCCTTGTTGTATCCTCCACCGCTTCGACCGACGTATGCTTGATCACGAGAGCGGATCAACCGCTGGCTAGTGATGATGCCGCTAAGGCCACCACAGGGCTCTTTGTTACGACCGAAGTGAACGACGACACCAAGAGAGCTTCCCTCCCACTCAAGGACTCTACAGAAGAAACCTCTGTGATCGGTTTAGGCTTTGACCTATCGAGCACTGAGAATGTTGTGGCCCCGATCGCTGGCGAGGATATCGCTGAGAGTTCTACGCCGCTACCAAACTTGCTACTTCTCAATAATGAGGGTATCCTGTGTTCTTGGTGGTTCGTCTACAACGACTCAGTCCGCCAGAAAATTCCTTACCACGGTCTGGCGTCAGAGGCTCAACAGCAGCAGCCGGCACCGCCAGCACAGTCAGCACAACCTCAGCCCCCTACGCAGCCTGCGTTTGGACAATCAGGTTTCGGCAGCCCATCTCCCCTAGGATCATCCCCCTTTGGCAAACCATCAGCTGCACCGGCCTTTGGCAGTACATCCACCTTGGGTGCCAGCCAGCAGGCGACCTTCGGAAAGACATCGTTTGGTGCACCTCCGTTTGGCACCCCATCACAACCGGGGGCCTCGTTTGGCGCTCCTAGTGCACTGGGAACTGCAACACCCCAGTTCGGTCAATCCGGCTTCGGGGCACTGGGCGGCGGGTCACGCTTTGGACAGCCATCAACACCGGGCAAGAGTCTCTTTGGAGCCTCGACTACTAGCACAGGAGGTGGATTTGGCTCGTTTGCAAATGCTGGAGGAGGATTTGCTGGCTTTGCGGCGCCAAAGACCACCACTGTATCACCCTTTGCGAAGATGTCAGGAGAGAGCTCGTTTGCGAAATCCTCTGTGCCATCACCGTTTGGTGCTAAGACCGATACTGACACTGCGTTCCCTCCTCCAACCTCGAGCGAGACAAAGAGCGCTTTCGGACAAAGCTCTAGTGGCTTCGTGCTAGGATCTACATTCAAGGGCGACGGTACTGCGGCTAACGATGGCCCTAAGCCAGACAAACCATCAGGACTATTCTCGTTCGGCGAATCCATGGATGATATGGTATCCAGCAGCAACAAGACCAGTCCACCAACCGAGTCAATGGATGATATGGACGACGAACCTGCGCCTTCGCAGAAGCCTGAGTCTAAGGAGCCTGAATCAAAGGCACCAGCACCATCTATCTTCGGAGCGCCCTCCAAGACCGAGACCGCTGCACCGACCTCCCTTTTCGGCTCCAAGCCGCAGCCTCCTAATCCATTTGGTCAACAGCCGGCCAATCCTTTCGGCCAGACCCAGGCCACTACCAAGTCTCCATTCTCGTTGTTCGGCAGTGCTTCACCCGCTAAGCCAACATCAAGCCCGCTGTCTCCCTCCTTGGAGAAGACTACAGCTTCCACACCACCCTCGACCAAGACGCCTTCTGAAGACGCCCATCGCACTCCCCTTGCTTCCAGTATCCAAACCCCTCTCCCCCCTGACCCCACCAGCAAGGCTTCGTACGGACCGGGTGATACTTCGGCCTCGTCAAATGTATCTAAGAGTTCCGTTGATGACGCCCCTCTTCCTCCCGACTTCACTGTCAAGGCGAAACCTGCCCCGGCAGATGTCGGAGGAGAGCCACCTTTACCCCCGGATTTCGCGAAGAAACTTCCTGAAGAGGAAAACGAGGAAGAAGAAGTGGACGAGGCTGAAGCTGAAGAGGCGCCGTTGCCTCCAGATCCAGCTACGTGGAAGCCACCGGCATCCCAGGAAGAGCCTGGCCCAGTACCTGACGAATCCGATGCCGATGAGTCTGGCAGAGAGGAAAGTGGGGAAGGCGAGGAAGACGTGGAAGAGGAAGAAGAAGATGAAGAAGAGGAGGGCGATGAATCCGATTTTGGAGATAGCGGTGAAGAAGTCTCCCGAGACATCAGCGAACCAGAGTCGGCGGAGGCAAGTCCAGAGGCCACTCCTGACGGTGCTTTCAAGTTCGGGACTAAGGGCGGCTTGTTCTCACAAGCTGCTAAACCTGCACCCGCTCAACCCCCGGCCCAGCGATCTCTGTTCGGAGAAATTGGAAAGTTCCCGACATTCCAGACTCGGGAGCCTCCAAGGTCGCCCAGTCCGGTACGGAGCGGCCTTCAGAAAAACCGGTTCAAGATCGGGGGCCAGAAGCCCAGTGCTGCACAGGTTCCAGGAAGCACTCTTGCTGCACGCAAGGCTTCCCTCACCGAGGCCGTCAAACGTGAGAATCTCCTAAAACCGCAGGTTTCTCAGAAGGAGAAGTCTCCGGTGGACCTCAAAGCCAAGCAGATGGAAGAAGAAGCTCAGGCTCTTTCGGACGATGATGAGGACGAGAGGCTTCGCGCAGATCTTGCCCGGCCTCTGGAACCTGTTCCAACTCTGGATCCTTTCCTGCCCCACCAGGATTATGCGGGAGAGACCAGCAAGCCCGGTATTCCTGGTCAGATCGAGCGACTTTATCGGGACATCAACTCTATGGTGGACACACTGGGCATCAACGCTCGATCACTGGCCTCGTTTGTTTTGTATCAGAAGCAATCGCAAAGTGCTGATTGGGTCGAGCTGTTGAACAAGGAACACCCAGCTGCTATCCTTGACGAGAAGCTACTGCTACATGATATCGAGAAACTGGACGATGCTGTTGTCATGCTTGCCGGCTCTCTCGAACAGCAGCGGGTGCAAGGGGTCGAGGACAAGCTGAAGGCCTGCCAAGAGCTCCTGAGCAAGGATATTCTGACGCTTCGGGGCCAGTGCGCTAGCATCCGCAAGACTCTGGATGCCCACACGGATGCAGCAGCTATTGTCTCTGCGCCTCTTTCCGCAGAACAGGCGAACCTGCAACAAGATCTCCGCACTGCCTCGACTGATATTCAGGCCAAGCTGGCGGATCTCGAGTCGGCAGTGTCCCTCCTTCGCGCCAAGATAGCCGATGCCCCTCGTCCCGATGGCACTGGTTCCCGGCAAGCCATGAGGCGACCGACCGTGGAAGCCGTCACGTCTACGATTGCTACGATGACGAACATGGCCGAAAGCAAGCGCAGCGATATTGACGTCCTGGAAATGCAGCTGAAGAAACTTGGCATCGACACCTCGGCCCCGGCAGCCGCCAGCCGGGAGGGCTCCCCCTTCACGACCCCGCGAAAGGGCATGGGGCGATTCCCTACCACCCCTGGATCTGACGGACCCAACAGCGCATACCATACACCGGACTCTGCTACGCGAGGCTTCCGATCGAGCATCAACGGATCAGCGCGGGCCAGTCGGCTTCGCAATGTGGAAGGAGTAGGAGAGCTCGTCACCCGGGAGGAGAGTACGCAGTGGAAGACGAAGCGGCAACGCCGGCAGCATATTGTGGGCAGTCTGAAGAAGGCAATTGGAGAGAAAAAGTCCAAGGTGCGCGGAGTGGATGATCTGTAGGATTAACTGTTTCTTGTTACTATTCTGCTTTTTCCTTGACTATGACTTCTTCAACCATGAAAAAACAGCGGGTCCGGCCATTGGATGTTGGTAGCGTTATTATGTACATAGATCCGATTCATCCTTAACTAATGAGTGATGTTCACTGCCAGTGCATACGAGCACATATTATAGTCGTATATTATGCCTAAGGCATCAATCAACCACTGACATCATGCGGCAGTGACATCAACCGATCTCCTCTTTCTTTGTTTCTCTCTTATCGATCCAAACTTTCTTTCCCTTAAGCTTTGCCTACTTGCTTACTATAAACCCCCTCTTCTCCAGCACCACAAGCTCCTAAATACTCCCTCTATCATACCCTCTACAACAACTAAGAATCACTCAGTAGTACCAAGACTAAATAAACCGACGAGAAAAATGCCCGGCGTCACCGAATTCATCTTCTTCCACCTCAACCCCGCCGTCAAACCCGAAGACCCCACCAACAACGAAGCTGGCGCCTCTCTCCTACAGCTCTTCAAAAACACCAAACACCAAAACGGATACCTGGGGTCCTCTTGGGGCCGCTCAACCGAAGATGAGAATGTGATTGTTTGGGTGATTGGTGCGTTCCCTTTTCCCATCCCACAGCTTCCCCTCTCCCTTCCCTCTAGTTTATCTATCTACATACATACATACATACATACACCCCACACCAACACACCCTAATCTAATATACACATATAGACTGGAAAGACGCCCAAACCGCCCCCACCCTCATTCCCTCGCTAACACCGTACCTTGCGCCCTCCACCCCATTAACAACCTTCTACGCGACTCTTTCCCCTGCCCCTCCCCCGCACCAAACCCACGATCTGTCCTCCTCGCCCGTAACCGAGATCTTCACGCCGTGGTTCCCAACCTCCATGTCCGCGGAAGAGAAGAAGAACTTGCACGAGAGTCTCGTAGCGTTCCGGACGGAGCTGGTGGAGAATCTCGAGGAAGGGAAACGGCCTCAGAGGCTTATCATGGGGCAGGTGGAACGGCCCGGGACGCGGAAGCACCGGGATAGTCCGAGCGGGGAGGCGTTTGGGATGGTGGTGTTGGCGGGGTGGGAGAGCGTGGAGGCGCATATAGATATTAAGGGGACGGAGGCGTTTGGAAGGGGGATTGCGCCGATTAGGGGGTGGATGTTGAAGGGAGATGGAGGGGATGCGGAGAAGGGGGAGGGAGGGTTTGGAATTATGAGGCATGTGAGGTTTCAGAGAGTGGAGTGAATTGATATCAATGGATAGTATGCTTTGTGTATGTGTAGTGTGAGGAATATGACGTGTAGTATGGTAGGGTAGGGAAGGGTTATGGGAAAGGTATTATTAATTAAACAGCGCTTTTCCAAATAAATACAGTACACACAAAAGAGATTGAGGAAAACAAAACGCGCAGACCCCGAAAGAAAAATATAGACGGAACCCAAACCAAACTATCAGAGCCACCGGAATATAACGGATACCTATTGGAGTAGTCGCAAAGCAGAAAGACAGCAAACCGATTCATCGGCGGGAACAGAAACAGGATGAATTCACTTAGCCTAGATCCGATGCTTCTCGCTTTCTGCAGGATGTTAGAAGGGGTCATTTCACATCGTTTGGGAAAGATACTAACCAAGTCTCGAGTAGAGCATGTAGAGCGCCATCTGATTGCACTCCTGGGTACCGGTGATCGTGACCAGACGCTCGTTGCTGTTCTCCTGGGGCTCGTTGATCTTAATGACACTGCCACTCAGATGACGGATCTCGTTGATCTTGGCTCCTCCCTTTCCAATGATGGCGCCAACCATGTCGTTGGGGATGTAGATCTGCTGGGTCAGTGGCTGGCCGGGCATGACACCGCCGACGGGAGCGGCAGGCGTCGGCCCACCACGAGCCTGTGCGGCGGCCGCCTGAGGCGCACCGTAGGGCGCGGGCTGGTGCGGGCCAGCGCCAGCATACGGGGTGTGGGGAGTAGCACCGTAGGGCATCGAGGGCTGGGCTACAGGAGTTTGCGCTGCCGGGCCCTGGAGGTAAGGAACGCCATAGCCGCCAGCTGCGCCGCGGTTGGGGTGAGGGTGGTGACGCTTGAAGGTGTCGGGATGGCCGTACTGCCCACCAGCGGGCTGAGGCACGTACGGCACAACCTGCATGCCGCCAGGCACAGCGCCAGCAGGACCGCCGCTGCGGGTGGCATAGGCCGAGGCAGCGGGGCCGCCGAAGCGTTCTGTCAGCTGCTCGACGAGAGTCACGGCAACGTAGTAGGTAGCGATGTGCACTGCGTCAGCAACACCGAGAATAACAAGGGACCGTTCAGTAGACAGGGGAAGGCAAGCATCAGAAGCGTTGAGACGTGCACCAGAGGCGTCCTGGATCTCTCGGATACGGCTCCCACCCTTGCCAATGATCGAGCCAATGAGAATATGGGGAATCAACAAACGCAAGGGGTATGTCTTGGATTGGGCAGTAGAAGGGGCATCAAGGGGCTCATTGTTCAAGGTACGAATAATAAGACCGAAGGCCTAGCATCCGGGTTAGCAAAGACAGTAGAAAAATTGAACCGTATCGTGTTCAAACTCACCTTCGCAGCAGCATCCTGGGGGCCGCTCACGGTCAAGATACGCTCGACGGCACCACGGGAATAGTCGCTGACGGTGCACTTGGCGCCGGACAGACGACGGATCTGGGATACGTTCTCCCCACCTTTACCGATGACGGTGGCAGCCTCCTGGCTGGAGATTACAGCCCGAATGTGAATCCAGCTAGACTCATCCTGGGGACGGTGTTGCTCGGATTGGGCACCGGTCGACTCGGCGTGAGAGGCCGTCGACTGAATGGGTTGTGTCTCCTGAGCGCCCTTGGAGTTAGGAGCATCGGGGACCACAGTGTCGCCCTGGCCATCAGCAGTCGCAGCCGGCGCATTCGTTTTCACATCGGCATACGCCTCGGACTCATCGCCCTTTACTACTTTGTCCAACGCAGGACGCTTGGCTTCCGGCTGATCATTAGGACCGGAGGGAGAGGAAGGGTCCTCCAACGGACGCTTGGTCGATTGCAACGCAGACGGAGAGGCAGACATGATGGTTTGTGTGCCTAAACTGTGCGGACTTTCTGTGCTTGCTTGCTTCACTTACGCAGGACGTGTCCAAGTGTGTTTTCACTTTTCAGAACAGCTCTTCTTTTCTTTTCACTGCAGCTTTATTTGATCGACTATGTACACCAGGAGTTCCCAATAAAACTTGCTGGTGCTGGCGATCGGATGGAGAGGGAATTCTGATGCTTGGAAGGATGTGGGAAGATTGGTGAACTCGTGCACAGTGCGGGAAGTGATGCTGTGAAAGGAGAGCCGACGAGGAAAGTGTGAAAAAGGTCTGGGATTGCCACGAGGCCTTGGAGGTTGGACTTGGAGCGGAAAGCTTCAGAGTGAAGCAGTGCAAGGTAGAGGGAAGAAGGAAAAAATGAAACCAATCGGGTCGGGCACGAGGGCAGGAGAGATTGGGTGCTGGACGGTGGACGAAGATGTGCTCAGGGTCCGAATGGGTTGGAAGGCGGAGGGAAGCGTGAAGGGAGAGGAGTAAAAAGAAAACGAGAAGTAAAACGAGGCCTTTTTAGCAGTATCCGACGCCCAAACTATCCTTTTTCTTTGCCTTTGGAAGACGCGACGTGGGTCGAGAGACGTTCAGGACAGGCGGGTCTTCTACACGATCAGCCCAAGAACGCTGGAATAGCAGACGTGGGAGAGTCGAAAGGTCGATGAGACGACAGCGACAGGTTTAAAATAGAGGTGGCGAGTAAACACGCGATGATCAAAAGGGGGTTAAGAGGGGAGGTGGATGGGTGAACGAAGTCGAGCTTGTCGCGGTGAAGGACGAAGAGGGAGAAGCGACGTTAAGGTTGAGTTGAGGTTCAGTCGCGCATCCTCGCCCTCCCGCGCTATCCCCTTTCCGGAATCTCCCTCACGTGTTCCCGGCCTGCAAAACACCTGCCAGTCCCTCATTCGTCTATACATTTCACCTCGGTTAGTTGGCTCGAGAGACAACTGGATGCAAAGCGAAGACTAAGATTAGAGGCGCATTCATTGACCATTACCCAACGTCATTCGCAATGGACGTGTCGCAGGAAACCGTTGAAAAAGTCCAGCGTTTCGCGGAGAAGCGCCAACGCGCCGAGGACTTCTACGAAAACCAAGAAATCAGTCCAGCAATTCTACAGGCGTACAATAGAAGGCTGGACGAAACACTAAGAGAACTTCAAGATCAAGTCAAGCGTCAAGAAGATGATCTGCGCAGGGTATGTATCCACCCCAGGATAACCATACCCCGTATGCATCCAAAACATGCAATCCAACTCCTAACAAATCGCCCAGCTGCGCGAGGTCAACGCCTTCGATCTTTCCAAAATAGGCTCAGATACTTGGTCGCGTGTGGCCCAAGTACAAAGAGCCAAGAGAGCCTACGACTCGCTTTTGAAATCAGAAACCGAGTTTCCAGCCTCAGGCTCGCCCCTGCCTTCTCTCCTGGCAATCGAGGAGACATCGCGTCTAGTCAAAGAAACCAAGGTTTCTGTCTCCATGACGGCAGAGAATATCTCGTCCAACCGTCAGCGTCTGAAATTAGAGGAGGGGAATCTCCGTGACGCTCAAGTCATCCGGGATGGTCTTCGAAAGCGGATCCAGACCATAAGCAGCGAGAAGACGACCAAGGAGAAGAAGACTGCTTCCCAGCTAGCGCGTGAACTAGCGGAACAAGAAGAAGAAAAGCAGAAAGAGCTTGACAAAGCAGCAGAGGAGATGAAGACTACGCTCTACAACTTTGTGGACGAAACCCTTGCGCCCATGCTTGCTGCCGAAGCCCTCGGCGGCCCCACGGTGGGTGATGCCGCCCAGGTCTCGGATGCGACCTTGCAATTAGGCTATACGAGCCATGGAAAACCGAGAAAGCCTAAAAATCCAGAGGCAGCAAACCCGGATGCTGGACAGCGCCGGATCGATGAAATTCTTCCGCGCCAGTCTGGGCAAGGAGACAACCAACCAGCTAATCGCAGAGAGGCTGCGGCTTTGGAGATGCGCAATCTACTTGATGCCTTGTTGGAGGCAGGATCCTCCTATATCGATTTGCCTCGAGAATCGGCTGCCTCGCGGTTTTTGGTCAGGGCTAAAGTCGCCCAGTTCCATCCCCGTGATGCGCGACGCTTGAGGCTGATTGATTTTGGACGTTCATTAGACGATTGAACGACGGTACTATGACCTATCGTATGATACATGACATTCCAGAGTATAATCAAAAGAAAAAAAGGCTGTATATATTCTGTCACAAAAAGCCAAAGCGCCTAATACAGTCATCATGCCAGTAATTTATACCCCCATTAGCACAACGCCTATACATGCATTAAGCAATCAACGCCCATAAGTGCCACTGCATATACCGTAAAGTTCATCACAAAGCCGAATTATTCGGCACTTGAAAAGCCATTAGATGGGCATCATCCCTATTCGACTAGTTGAGGGTTTCGCTTTGGTCGTTTTCCGAGGGGCAGAGGAGCGATTGTCAGCACGATCATCAGATTTTCTGCGGGCTCCCGTCGATTTTGCCCTGGATCTAGGGGCAGCGTTTTGGCGGCGAGGGCGTTTGGTTGTTTGACGCTTCCGAGCCCGAGGTCTACTGGACTTTCCGGGGCCATCATCCTCGTCGTCGGAGTCGAGGCCAGCAGTGTTCTGGGTAGAGAAATAACGACTGGACAGGGTCTCATCCACATTAAATGTAGACGGATGATCCGTAAAGATTCCGCCATCGCTGAACTCATCCTCAGTGCTGGTAAGGTTAATAACATTGTGATGGTTGGGGTCCGGAACCACCCCATCAGCATCATCTTGCTCTTTCTTCAACTCTGCATAACGGCGCTGCGTGTCGCGCACAAGCTTCAGAATTTGGCCTCCGTATCGGTTCACCTTGTCCGGGTCAATACCAGGGATTGTGGCAAGTTCCGCCATATCTGGACATAAGTCAGTTCTGCTCATAGCTATCATAAGAGGGTTCTCACCTTTGGGGAAGACGATGACCATCTCGCGCAGGACGCTGTCAGTAAATGGTTGGTTGCGAAGGCCTTTCTGCATGACCAGCTGCTCGGCTGTTAGCACGTTGTCAAGTGCCCTCGATGAACGATCACTTACATCCTGACAATAGTTCTTGGCATAGACCATAAAATCCTCCGCAACCGCTTTATGTAGAGGGTCCAACTGCTCAAATCGACGGTCTTGGGTGATTGGCGGCCCGGGAGTGCGACGCCTCTCCTGTGCTGGTTTGCCGGCGATTCGTACTCTTTCGAACCCATCACTGTCGGCATCATCGTCCGTGGTGTCGCCTGCGCCCCCTTGGTACCGGAAGCGAGATAGACGGCGTTGGTTTGCCGCTTGTACAGGTGACGAGACATTTGTGGATTGCGGTTGATACTCTTTGTTGCCGCCATCAGTTCGTGATCCCGAATTGGACTTCCTGGCCTTTCCATTCGGCGAGACTCGCACGTCAAGCTTCAGTTTGCACCGCCCACTCTCGAAATCAGCGGCACGGCGTCCCACTTTGATATATTGAATGGCAAATTTACTTCCATTGACGACATTCTCTTCAACAAGAGCCCCCTCGCCTAGAAGTCTGTGGAATAGTCGTTCTGCTTCGCCTAGTTCTAGGCCCGAACCGTCACCATAGCCAGGTGCCTGTCGATGTTGTGGAGACCTGAACCTCTTCACACTCCCCCGGAAGATGTTCACACAGTATGACAGAGTAACCTTATCTTCGATGCTTTGGAAGTAGCGGACAACTTTAACAGCAGAGGTAGCATAGTGGGAAAAGTCGTGTAGCTCGAAGACAGAGTCGGACTTGCAGTTGTCACATGAGGCATTGCAGTCTTGCCGGCGGAAGTATTCATTAAAGTAGGCAAGAATTTGTACTCGCCTACAATCGCTCCTGTTTTCACAGTATTGTACCACGTTGTGGAGCATCTGCCGTTGCCGATTCTTCTGTTGCTTGCTGCCCTCGCCCTTGTCGATCATGCTAGATATAGTGCTCGTATCCTTGTAGCAATAATAGAGGTAGCAGCCAGACCGCTTGCCATCTCGGCCTGCCCGTCCCGTCTCCTGATAATATCCCTCCAGACTCTTGGGAATGCTGTGATGGATCACAAAACGCACATCAGGTTTGTCGATACCCATTCCGAAAGCGATTGTCGCCACTATAACGTGAGTTCTTCCAGCTTGCCAGTCCTGTTGTATTTTCGCACGCTCTGCCGAATCCATGCCGGCGTGGTAGTGTTCCGCTTTGATGCGATAGTCATCCCGGAGACCGCTCGCGACCTTTTCACATGTCTTGCGCGACAAACAATAGACTATGCCTGATTTGTTTGCGTAGGAGGTCTTGATAGTATCGGCTATGCTGGCCAGAAGCTCCGTTCCCTTCTTTTTGATCCGTACCTCGTACGTCAAGTTTGGCCTGTTAAAACTCTGAGAGAACACTTCACAGCCTTCCATTCTTAGGTTGTGAATAACATCCACCTTGACATTCTCGGTGGCTGTCGCAGTTAGCGCCATCATTGGCACTCCAGGTAACTGATTCCTAAGTTCTCCCAGCTCTTTATAATCAGGACGAAAATCATGCCCCCACTGACTAACACAATGCGCCTCATCGATCACGATACGTGCAAGCTTCCGACTGCGATTGAGCTTCTCCAAGCTTTTGGTAATGGCCTGACTTTTGTTGACCATTTCCGGGGTGATGTATAATAGTTCGATGTCTTCCTCCGCCAAGGAGCCCGACAGCGTGCTGAGGATCCATTGCCGTTGCTCTTTCGGAGTCTCTCCGTTCAACAGGTAAGCCTTGATATTCAAGCGATTCAGATGCGACACCTGGTCCTGCATCAGGCTGAGCAAGGGGGAAATCACGATCGTGACTCCTCTTGTGGAGCCTGAAGTGACAACAGAGGGCAGCTGATAGCATAGAGACTTGCCTCCTCCGGTGGGCATCAAAACGAAAGTATCTTTCCCACTCAGCGTCGCATCTATAGCCTCGAGTTGATTCAGGCGGAACCCACGAAGATGGAACCGGTCTTTCAGAGCATTTCTGACGTCCTTAGACCATGGATGTTGGTTCCACAGAGCGTTATGGCCCTGAGATTTCGGTTGCGACAGAGGAGTGCGCGAAGCATTTCCGGAAGTTTCAGCAAAGACCTTGCGGTTATGAAACCCGTGGTTGTCGGTTGCGAGTGAATAGCCTTCGTCAAGGAATCCAGCAGCTTCTAGCATGTCTTCGTCATCGAGGTCGAACTCATCCGCGTCTACTGCAGGACGCGTGGGTGAGCCCATAGTTCGAGTAAAAGCGTCATCATCGTCCAGCGTCGTCGGGTCATCGTAGTT